GATCATTGTGAAGGAATTTGGGAGGATAATCGTTGTAAGCCTCAAATGAATTTTTTGATATTTTTTTTGCTAAATATACTTAATAATATAGTGTTTTATATTAACTTGATATTTTTTATTCTTACATTTATTAATTCCTTGTTCTTTAAACAGGAAATGGACGGATCCAGTCAACAGGGTTCTGGTGATGACAACTCTTTTACTAGCCGGAGAAAGGGTAGAGGGCCAACCCATATGAGGCATTTAGCTTTACGTGATGAGAGCACACAGCCTATGAGGATTACAGTGGAGTTTGATGATGATCTGAAGCCTATAGGAAAGGATGGGGCTCAATTTACTAGTTATGTGGGTTATCTCGCACGCAGTAAAATTAGCATTGACATTCCTAACTGGAAGAAGGTGGACAAAGATTTGAAGAAAAACCTTTGGGAGGATATATTGGTATATTGTGCATTGTTTTCTCTACTTGTTTCAATTATAGTTGTTTATTTACTTTATAACTCTATGCTATTATTGTATTGCATGCAGCTGACATTTGATATTCCTGCCACTAAACAAATGAGAGACCGTCTGTTGAAGCAAATTGCTGAACGGTGGAGGGATTTTAAGTCCATGCTTACAACACATTATATTAATGGAAAAAGAAAGGGTGTGCATCCTAAGGAACGATACCAGTTTATTAGCGATGAGGCATGGGAGAATTTTGTGAAGCAACGTGAAGACCCCGCATTTCAGGTTTGGTTTCTTCAAACTTAATTTTTAATCAGGTCATATTTTATTTAACTAAACTAATTTTGTCGATTTGGTTTCATTGTCATAGGCATTGAGTCAGAAGAACAAACAAATATCTGAGCAGAATGTATACCCACATACCATGTCTCGTGCAGGGTATGGTGGGTTGGAAAGAAGTATGATGGAGGAACGACTGAAGAATGCACAGATGGCTGCTGCTTCAGATCCTACTGGCTACATGCCATCCATTGAGCGTCCTTCTCGCCAAGAAAAATGGAAGGCGGCGAGGATTAAAAAGGGTCAATACATTACTCCACAGTCTGCTACTGTTGCTGAGAGGATTGTAAGTAATATTTAAGAATTATGCTTCATTAATTGTTTTTTTCAATTATCTTAAATTGAATTTGTTGTTTTAATGATATAGGATACACTTGAGGAGCAACTATCTCAAGGTACATTCATCCCTCAAGGACGGATGGATATCTTGGCCACTGCTATTGGAAAGGCTGACCATCCCGGAAGAGTCCGAGGGGCCCCTAAAGGGATTGGTATTAAAGAATTTTTTGGCTCTGCTTCACGAAGAAGCACCAGATCATCCTCCGCTAACATGGTATCTAAAGAGGAGCTCGACCAACGACTACAAGAAGAAACAGAGAGAGTTCGAGCTGAACTAAGTCAACAACACATGGCAGAGATGCAAAAGATACGTGATGAATTCGATGCCAAGTTTCAACAGACTTTGATGATGATGGGTACGAGCGGATTCCAGATGCCCCGAGTATCTGAACCTTCCCAGGTAATAATCACACATCTTTTTAAATCTTCTAAAGATTCATTTGATCCATTTAAACTTATTTAATGTTTCTTAACTAATTTCATATTATGTTTCAGGGTTCACCTGTGATAAAAAGCGGAAAGGGCAGTAATAATCAGACACAGCCACTGACAGTGTCTGACCCTGACCCTAGCCCTGACCCTGTCGAAGACAATGGGATGCCGTGTTCTCTCTATGTGGATTATGAAAATTCACCTGTTCATGTTGCTAATGGTCGAGCATTCATGGGCACAACGATTCACGGCAACAAAATTCCGAGCAATCAAGCAAGGGTGACAGTGGAGAGGATTGTTCGTGGTCAGGGGGGTACACCAGTGCCTAATCCTACTGATGAGGTTCGACTCTTGGCCCAAGCTAAAGGACATTTCATTTTGTGGCCAAAGAGACTTATTACAAAGCCAATAGTGAAGAAGGCGGCAGCAAAGAAGGCCACAACGAGCGCATCATCTGATCCTGTACTCTTGCCTCTTCCTAGTGATGTTGCGCTTATGTATTCCAGTTTGGAGGTTCTTCATTCCATGGTGCCAAACATGGATAAGCCTGTGACTTTCAAGATGCCGTTGGGGGTTGTGGGTTCAGATATAACATACGACTTCACCATTGACAAGAGGGACCTCGTTCAGTTCCTCAACTTTGAGGAGCTTGATATAGCCTTCATGCAGCTTGCTATTTTGTAAGTTACAATATCATTTTCTTATTACATATTATACTTCATGCATGTCCTAATGTTTTTTACTTGAACAACAGGCATTTTAATCAAATCTGTCGAAACGGAGGACTTGAAAGAACATATGGCTTTATGTGTCCTCAAAGGGTGCAGAAAGAATTTAATACTGTGGAAGCAAGGTCAATCTACATTATGACCGCAATGAGTCAGACCAAAAAGCAAATATATTTTGCACCTTACGTGGAAGGGTAAGTGTATTATTGTATTTGAGATATACAAGTTGTATGTGTCGGGTTATAATTAACATGGTTTGCCTTTTGCAGTTATCATTGGACTCTAATTGTTTGTGCCCCTTTTGACAACAAAGTTTACTGGTTCGATTCACTCTGTGGAAGTCCATCCGAAGAAACCAAAGATGTCATCGACACGTTAGTTTTTATTTATATATTTATTACTTGTGAAGTTTATACAAGCATGCTCTAATATCATTTTCTCTTATAATGTTGATAGGGCTTTTCATAGTTTTAATGTCGTGGCGATTAAACAAAATAGACAAGCACCAACATGGATTCTTCCACAGGTATATGTTGTTTTGAACTAACTTTTAAACATTTTTTGATGAATTAAAGTTAATGTTTATAATCAATAATGTCTAATATTCAATTTTATATCTTATTTTTTAAGTACCGTTGTCAACAAGGACATGTTGAGTGTGGATATTATGTCATCCGCTACATGAATGACATAATTGAGACAGGAACGACTGAGAAATTAGACGAGGTAAAGATGAGTTACGTTGCATGACGTTCTTCAATTTATTTCACATTTTTGACTAAGTTTACTATGTTATTTTTGATTAACAGATATTTCAAAATACTGCGCCATATCTCATGGATGACATCAACTTGATGAGGGACACTTTGTCAACAACATTGGTAGAAAAAATTGAAATTTAGCTTTCAAATAGATAGGTTATTTGTCAAAAAATTCATTGTTAGATGCTTTCTCTCGGTTCCCTCTTATATTGTTCATGATTTCCATTGTACAAAGAAGTAGTTACTTCTATTTCAGAATTGTTGGACCTAGCTAGCCAATACGTGTTCCTTGGTTACCACTTAGTTCTATTATATTGGCCGGTTTCCTATTTTCGAATTGTGTAAAAAAAATTTCATTGCTGTATATTAACTAGCTAATTGATCTTGTTCTGCGTGATCTGCACTGCCTACATTTGTTTGGAGCTGTAAACTGCAGGGTGGTAAACACGAAAATTTCGCAGAATTTTAAAAAAAAAAAAAAATTTAACGGCGGTTATACATATAACCGCCGTTTAAAACCATTTTCCACGGCGGTTCTACAGTTAACCGCCGTGGAAAGTTGACTTTCCACGGCGGTTAACTGTAGAACCGCCGTGGAAAAGTCAACTTTCCACGGCGGTTAACTGTAAACCGCCGTGGAAAGTCAACTTTCTACGGCGGTTAAAACCGCCGTGTTTTCCTTGCCTTTCAACGTCGCCTTTAACAACTACGCCTTCAAAACCGCCGTTAAAAGCCACTTTTAACCGCCGTTAAAAGCCTTTTTTCTGGTAGTGACGGGGACAGCTAATGGCAAACGAGATAGGCCATTTGTAGCTGCCTCTCAATATACTGTTCTAGTTTATTATAAATAACTTCTAATATGTTTTATACAAATCAAGAAAAACATTAAATTTTATTAACTCTCATTTAAAATTCAACAATTTTTAACTTTATCCTATTTAATATATATTTTATTTCATATGAACAAAGTCAGCATAATAATAAATGAAGGGTAAAATTATACATCCATATAAAAAATTTCTCTGTCTTAATAATATAGGATTAAAAAAATATATTCTCTCAGCACTGTAAATAATACCAGAGGAGTACCATTGTAACATGGGAAGCCTATCCATACAATTCCTCAATCCCCTCTAACCAAGAGATGAGATATAGGAGTGTTTGGGTACCAGGCAAAACCATGATTTGAAAGGTAAAACCATAGTTTGGGGATCTAACTATCCAAACATGTTAATTTTTTGTAAAATCACTTTTTCATCAAAAACAATGATTTGGGGGGAAAAAAAAGTAGCCAAAACACCATGATTTTTGCCAAAATCACTTTAGAATTGAAAACTATCGTTTGGGATATAAAACCATGGTTTTTCATAAAGTGAAATTTTTTTGCTTTTGAAGGTATAAAACCATGGTTTAGAATATTAAAAATAGATAAATATAAGAGATAAAGTAGATTGGGATCTTTATATTCAGAATCAAATTGAATATCTAATAGCTATTGTATTATGAACGAGAGGTAATATTTAATTAATTATATTTTTTTATATACAATTGATTATTTCAAACAAAAATATAAATTCAAATCTATTTTTTATATAATTATCATATTAAAGTACTTTCTTTTTAGTAATTTATACAGAAAATAATGATTATGATAACAACCACTTAAACATTTTCATTTTATCAAAATTATTTTTCACGAAATCTATTCTTTTAAAATCTATTCTTCAGAAACTATTCTCCAAACCATAGTTTGGTTTTACCCAAAAATACAAAGCCCGATACAAGCTAGAATATTCATGACTTCTGACTTATACTTCTATAGATATATTTTGCATAATGTGCAAATAACTCTTTAATTGGGAAAAAAAAAAGTTTTGCATTGTCTGTGGTCTCTTGGGACAATTATTATCGATTAAGACCAGAAGAATTTCTCCACGGTAAAAGTGACTAATAAATAAAATTAGAATAACAATTAATAAGAAAACAAGGTAATATAATTTCAATGACAAGCCATAATGCAAAATTAATTAGGACTACAAACATACACATATGCTTTCAAAAACAACCCTTGTTAATGATCCATTGTTGTGCTTTACACATTGCTTGTAAAGGAATAACTTTTGACAAAGTCAATCCTGCTCCTTCTGTCATGTCAATTTCTTCCTCACTTGCTCGTTTCCATTCAAAGCATTGAATCAATAAACCCAAAGCCAAGCTTACTGTGCGTTGTGCCAAGCCTGAACCTGGACATGCCCGTCTTCCTAATCCAAATTGCATCAACTTATTAGCCTCCCCTTCTTTTTGAAACCTTTCAGGCTTGAAACTCAATGGATCACTCCATAATATGGGATCTCTATGGATGGCCCAAGCATTAATCAACACAATAGTATCACGCGGTATGTTATAATCTCCTATAGTGCACTCGTCTGAAGACAGATGAGGTAACAATAATGGGGCTGTTGGATGCAATCGAAATGTTTCTGATACAATGCTTTGAAGATATGGTAGCTTCATAATGTCTTGCTCATCTATCAAGTGTTCTTCTCCTATTTGCATGTCTATTTCTTGCCTTGCTCTTCTTAATACCTCTGGATGGTTCAATAAACTAGACATTGCCCACTCTAAAGTTACTGCCGATGTGTCAGTTCCAGCAAGAAGCATTACCTATATGTGAAGTCAAACCATGTCAAAAGTGAAAAAACATGTCATTTAAAAGTCTTTATTAGGCAAAGATGCTTCAAATGCTCCATTCTCTAATGTCCCGGCTTTCCAAATATTTTTCTCTTTTGTCCATTGGTCATTCAATTCTACGTAAAATAAGTAATATTTTGATCTTACGGGTACCACATGGTGTAAATCTAAAATTTTTTAGGAGAAAATTAAGTCAAAATTGTACTGTCTTAGACTATTTTTCTTTAAAAAAGCTTAAAAATTTAAAACTACTATACCATTTCATAGTTGTAATCTATCAAAATCAAAATGTTACTCATTTTACATAGAATCTAATGATCAATGAACAAATAAACAAAAGAAAAAGGAATTTAAAATGATGGGGCAGTACAAACAGCATCAAACAGTGGGACATTCCTTGGCCTTAAATTGATTTGCAAAAATCCGGATCCAATAAAAAAAGAACAAAATGACAAAATGAAAATGACTAATAGAGACATCACAATGAAACCAAAATCCAAAACAATAGCGCTTGCTTACCAAAATAAGACCTTTGATAATTTGATCTGTATAATACTCTGGCTGTGATTTCTGCAGAGTCAAGAGATGATTGATCATAGTATTTCCACTTGTATTCCCACTTCGATGCTCATCAACAAGTCCCTGCAAAAACCCATCAACTCCAACACTAATACTCTTCAACTTCTTCTCCAAATTGTCCAAATCAAACCATCTCAGTATTGACAGGAACTCTCCTGGATTATTTGCCCCTCCTAGTTTCACCAGTTCCTTTATCATCTCTCTGAACTTCCTTGCTTCTTCCACATCCCCAACTTCACTATCTTCTCCCCAGTATCTCTTCCCACAAATCATTCTCATCATAGTGTTAAAAGTCAGCTCAGAAAAGCTGGATCTTAGTTCTACCTTCGTAAAACCCTCACGAGAATCATAAGCTAATTTTTGAATGAGCCGTTTCATCTCATCTCTTCTCATGTCCAGAAAATAATTGAGACGGTGGGTTGAGAGGACGTCGAGGACCATGATGCGGCGGAGGTTGCGCCAGTGGTCGCCGTACGGGGCGAAGACGACGGTGGTATAGTTGTAGCCGACGTGTTTTCCGGTGAGAAACGGTGGGCGGTTGGCAAGAACGACGTCGTTTTTGCTGAAGCATTCTTGAACTAGGGATGGTGACGAAACGACCACGACCAAACGAGAGCCGAACCAGAGAGAAAAGATTTGACCATAGTTTTGGGAAACACGATGAAAGTGATGATGGAGTGGTTTCTTCAGCTGGTGGAGATTTCCGAGTATGGGAATAGAATGAGGGCCTGGTGGGATATTTCTGAATCTTCGTTTTCTGAGAAAGAGGTTGGAGATGAGGAAGAGGAAAGAAAGGAAAAAGATAGAATAATTGATGATGGAACCTGTGGACATGTTTTTCCTTGTTTGCTTGATTGCTTGATACTTTGATGATTCATGCGCGTATTTTTAAAGGGATACGTGGGACCAAATGGATGTTTATCCTTTTGTTTTTGTTTTGTTTTTGTTTGCTTGCATAAAGTTAAGTGAACTGTTCTTAGTCTCACACACTCACACACTCACACGCTCACACACGCGCACGCACATATATATAACTTCAAAATATCTTTTTCCACGGTAGAATATATAATTTGAATTTTTTAAAAAAGAAAAATGTATTAGTTGGAAACATTTAAATAATATTAAAATATATTAAAAAATCAAATGAGATTAAAATTACAATGAACCTAATAACAAGACATTGTTAGCATCATTCTCAAATTAAAAGTAATCATATTTGAGGTATTATCAGGCATAAATATGAATACTTCTCCTAAAAAAATTTGAACATTAGTTTGTCACGTTTGTGACGAGTTAGCCTTTTCTGTTAGACTCAGCTCTAGTTGGTTGGTTAGCATCATTTTGAATACAAACATATTCCCAGTTTTCTAAAATATATTCATCTCGGTTTTATTAATTAAGTTAATTTTTATGTTTGGCGGAGAGAAAAGTGAAAGAAAAATAGGAGGGAAGAAATATTGAGAAGTAAAAAGCTCAAAAACAGTAAAAATCTTTTTAGTATTTTTTTTCTTTTCTAATTTTCTTCTCATCCAAAGATAAGTACATGCTTCCATATTTATAAGTAATTTTACAAAATCTACTACAACGGCCTTCTATTAAGAAATATAATTATAGTGGACAGCAAGATCAGAATAGATAAATAAGATTGTTTGACTTAGGTTGGCTAATTAAGGATAATATTTAAGACGAGATGATTTTAAAATAGGATTAAAGTATGAATTCATCTATGAAGTATTCACCCAACAGCAGGAGACATTATTAAATTTTTTTTAGATACCTAATTACACATGAAATTTTCAAAATAATGCAAAACTATCAAACATTAAGTCAAGTAGTGCTCACTGTCTAACACATATGTCAACCAAAAAACATTATAGAAAATGCACATGATATTTTTAAAATGGTATAAAAATATATATGAAGTTTTCAACAACCGTGGCATTTTCGTACCATTTTAAAATCTTGATATGTATTTTTGCATTATTTTCTTGATCTATATGTTTACTAAACAATTAATATCAATTGACTTAACAACCATGACATTTTTTGTACCGTTTTAAAAACTTCATGTATACTTTTACATCTAAAAAAAGTTTACGGTGTTAGACGCTCATGACAGGATACTTCATAGGTAGATTAGCATCTTAATTCTTATGAAATATTAACTAAATTAACCAATTTTCTTATTTCTCATAAATTAGTTAAAAGTGGCTTATATATAAGGATAAAAAGAATATATGTATGCACAAGTATTTATATGTACTATGTGTGTATACCCGCATGTCACAAAAATACCAAAATACTACCTCCAGTCATTAATATAAGATCTTATTTGACTTTTGTCTTGATCTTAAATATAAGACTCCAATCACTTTGTCTCTCATATTTATTTATTTATTATAAGATAATTCTTCTAATAATAATAGTTTTAACCAGCAAACTTGATTAGTAAAAATATTTTAGAAAAGAAAACACCTATTTATTGCAAATAACTAACTTAACTTGTTTTCTTAATCTACTCAAATTAGTCAAGTAGCTCTTATATTTAGGATAAGAAGTAGTATTGAATAAAATAATATGGCCGGTGAAGAGCCATTGGTACCCACAGTTAAATCACTGTACATTCAGGATTTTTTTTTTTAAGTTTTTTTTTTTAATTTTTTGAGCTTCCTTGTTTTGGGCATTTGGAAAAGTGACGACAACTAAGGGTGTGTGTTTGGATGAAACCAAACCATGGTTTGGAGAATAGCTTCTGGAGAATAGATTCTGGAAAAAATAGATTTTGTGAAAAAGTGATTATGATAAATGAGAGTGTTGGATAGTTATTATCAGAGAAGAACTTTTTATATGTACAAATTTTACTAAAAAATGTATAAGTTAATATGATAATTACATAAAAGATAGATTTTAAATATATTTTAATTTGAAAAAAATAAATAGATTTATAATATATTTTAATTTAAAAAACAAAATTGTTAATAATATATTTTTTTACCAACATAATTAATAATATATAAAATAATATAATTAATATGTATATATATTTATAAAATATAAGATTAAATATGTTTATAAAAAAATAATTGAGGAATGTTAAAATCATATTATCGTTGAGATCTACTTTACAGGTACAATCATATTCTCCCATTTGAACCAGAAGCAGAATGAATTCACTTCTTCTGAAACCATGATTTTGAGCTCCAAACCATGGTTTTTATCCAAAACCATGGTTTCTGTTTTTTCCTGTGGGTGTTGGCAAGTCTGAGACCCAAACCATGGTTTGGGTCTCAAAACCATGGTTTTATGTGTTATCCAAACAGGGCCTAAGACTCTTCACGCTTAATTCGACAGGCTGGAAAAAAGGAAGAGCTGTAAGCGTCCACGCACCTCATTGAATACGTCAATGGCTGAGTAAATGCTAAATCAAAGATACTGCAAGCTATTTCCTTGTATAAAAACCAGTTTGATATTTTATCTTCTATATTTATTTATTTATTTTCTTTAAAATACTTCTTATAATAGTTATAGACATAATTTTAGTTAAACATATATATAGTTATTACAAATAACTAATTTAATTAATTTTTTTAATTTATCTAAATTAATTAATTAGTTTTTATATAATATCAGATATAGCAATATCCAAATAACCATCCGTATGCTCCGTTCCAGGCTGAGTAAATGCTAAGATAGAGACATTGTCGATATCCCATCTCTTGGTTGGAGGGGATTGAGGAATTGTATGGATAGGCTTCTCATGTTCCAATGGTACTCTGATCCTATTTATACAGTAGAGAAAAGATTTTTTTTTATTCTATTTATAAGGTACTAAGAGAAATTTTTTTTATAGATGTATAATTTTACCTTTCATTTATTGTTATGTTGATTTTATTTATATAAAATATAATGTATATTAAATATAAATAAAATTAAAATATTGTTGAATTTTAAATGAGAATTAATAAAATTTAAAATTTTTATTTATTTATAAAACATATTGAAAGTGATTTATAAATAAAACCATGACAGTATTATTGAGAGGCAGCCACAAATGGCCTATCTCGTTGCCATTAGCTCACAATTAATGGATAATCACTCTTGTACATAATATAAAATGTTATTTAACTCTTTTTTTAAAATGTGTCTTCTTTTTGCCATCCATTAAATGTGTATTCAATTGATAGAAATTACAGGTATTTTATCCTTAACAAAAATGTGATCGAGAAATTCTCTTATCTCCTCCTTATAAGAAGGGATAAAAATAAAAATTATCATTAATTATCGTGTTAATCTCTTAATTTGAACGGAAGGAAGCACCCTCAACAAAGGTTAATTGAGGGAGCACAACTGAGGGATCAAATCCCAAGACCACCTCGGTGTGTTTGGATGTCTCCCCAAACCATGGTTTAGGAAAAAAATGACCCAAACACCCATAAGAAATCAAAACCATGGTTTTGGAAGAAGTATAAAAAATCTGCCTTTGAAAGAAAAATTGGGGAGAGTGCCATATGGATATGAGGATCTTTTTTTTTTTACCAGACACATATACCCCTTAAACTTGAATCTTCCGCCTTCAGTCCTTCACTGTTCAAGAGAGGGTAGTACGTTATTATTATTTATTTTCTTCAAAAAGAGGTAGTACGTTGTCACATTGTACCCTTTTTTATTTATTTTTCCTGTTTACAAAAAATTATTCATCTTTTTCAAAAATATTTTTAATCTTATATTTTATAAATATTTTTACACATGTAGTAATAATTAATTAATTATATTAATGATGAGAGGTAGTATGTTGTTATAGAAACTAGTTGTGAAAAAATGTTATAGGATTTCATGTTTAAAATCTTTAAAGCAAATTAATATTTTTCTATTAGAAAAAATAATCATTTTTCTATAAACATTTAATCTTATAATTTATAAATATATATACACATATTAATTATTTATTAATTATATTATCTTATATATTATTAATTATGTTAGTAAAAAACTATTTTATTAACAATTTTATTCCTTCAAATTAAAATATATTATAAAATCTATCCTTTATGTAATTATCATATTAATTTATGTCTTTTTAGTAATTTGCACATAGAAAAAGTACTTCTAATAATAACTATCCAAACATTCTCACTTTTCAGAATCACTTTTTCACAAAATCTATTCTCTTCAGAATCTATTCTCTAAAAACTATTCTAAATCATGATTTGGTTTCATCTAAACATTGCTGGAACAAGGTCGCCACAGCCCTTCAAACCATGGTTTCTAGTTCAATAGTCACTTGGATTTTTTTCTTTTGATTTCATTTTTTGGGTGTTTGGATGAAATTACATAAAACCATGGTTTTGGGTTTTTCCGTGACATCCAATATACAAAGCCCGATACGAGCTAGAATATTCATGACTTCTGACTTATACTTCTATAGATATATTTTGCATTGTGTGCAAACAACTCTTTAATTGGGGGGGGGGG